CCACTTTAAATTATTCTTATTCTTTAGTATTATTATTATTTTATTGCTTGAGACATACATGTTATCGCATTTGATACAATATATTTACACAGTGGCATTGTATCGCGGTTTTTAGTCCCGTTTTTATATGACAGACAGCTGCTTTCTCAATAAAAATAAAACTTTTACATTTAAATTTACCTTTCAATGACCATTTGCAAACTCGTTCTGCTTGAAACATTCCGAATGTACACAGGAGTAGCTCGAAGTTAATATTAAAATTGCTTGAGTTTCTAACTGACATTATCTTCGTAGTTTTCTTTTAATATCAAATCCTCCAATAGGATGCTGAAATTTCAATGGATACAATCATGCACTACATTTACCCAATTAGTCGCTTGCCTTTCATTGTTTTCAATAAAAAAGGAAGCATCTTACATCGGTCTTCAATTAACAATTTAGATATATGGACTAAGCATTTATATGTATTAGTATGTTGATTAGATATATTCTTTTTAAGCTAAAACAATATTGCACGATCTGGCATTGCTGTTTCATATTAAGAAATTTTACTTTAAAGGGCGGAAATTTTAATCTTACAATGATTTTTTAGGCAATTAAAGTAATGAATTAAATTTTTCTTTCGTCAACGTAGACCTCTTTTTCATTTCGATATACCGGTATACCATTAACTCAAATACAAACTAAGTTTATGTCTCTCAGATTATTCGATGCGTAAGAGCATGTTTTGCGTCCGAACAATTTCTAAAAAGAAACTAGTTATTGATGGATATGTTGATGAAACAAAGGTATCAACAGTCTTTATTATTAAGATTGGTGTTAAGGTTACCATTGATGTTTTTTTTTTCGAATACAACATCCAGACGTCAGAATCTGATAATAGTTTATTTCAAGCTCATTTGGGTTTATTGGGTCAACATATGAATGGAAGTATGTAGAAGTTTTGAATTATATATATATATATATATATATATATATAAACCAGGTAAGTTTGCTCACATCGCGGTACCCATGGAAATTTCAACAGATTTGTTGAAGATCTGACTGCAAAGATGTTGTCAATCAGAAACTGAAGTATATTTAATATCAACTTCAGAGTACTTGTTTTAATAATCAGATTATTAAAAATATTGCAAATGACGAATGATAAGAAAAACTTTTTTTTGAAAAAAGCAGCTTTCCTCGATGGCAAAAATCCTGAATTTTGATATGTTGTACGAAGTGTTTAAATTCAGTTGATGCTATTGATTTTGGTAAAATTGTGTGACTTCAAATTTCCTTAGAGTTCCTTCGACCCGTGAGTTTTTAAGCATTTCTCCACTGTTGTGAATATTCTAGTAAGGTAAAAGGGAGGGGCATGGTGGACCATTCACTCGGATGTACTATATATGTATCTTAGTTTGTAAGGATTTTAATTGACATTCCCAATCCCAACTCAACGGCAGGAAATGTTATGATTTGATTATCCTTATAATTAATTCAACATCTCCACGATTTGATACGGCCATTGAAATTTGCCAGCTTTGCAATTCTACAGTATCTATGAGATAAGAACCAAATCAAAACCACTAGATAATGTGGAGTAGGTAACAAATGCCTGCTTTATAACTATAGGAGATATCACTACGTATCCTAGGGCGAAAGATATATCTTTCTTATTTGTCGCAATCATTTAAAAAGAAAAGAAGTGCGTTAAAAGTTGCACTTAGGGCTTATAAAATGAACATTTGCTCTGTGTAAGTTTGTTTTTTAAGAAGAATGATGTAGTGCCTACATAGCACATTTTAATTTGATTATAATATACGTAAGCACATACCTAACCTTTACAGAAATAACGTTGAAGGGGAAAAATCGTGAATCCATACTTACGAAACATTAAGTATATTCCTTTTAAGTACACATGTATTGCGGATTTTACAATAAAAATGTCAACATTGATAGAGACCTGTTGAAACCACTATTGAAATAATTATTTCAATAGTGGTTGCCACAGAGGCCTATACTTAGGTGGATTTGTATATCATAATACTAGTGGATATTTTGTTAGTTTGTGTAACGTCTCTTTTGAGAAAATGTTTTACTCAAATCAAGATTAACGTTACCACTTTCCGGTGGAGGGGTGTGAACTTGAAGTAACATGTGATTAAAAATGCAAGAATCCTGATTTAATTGTTACTGTGTTTAGAAACAGTACTGTCATTTCTTGGGTCTCAAAGCCATGGAACATTGAATGGATCCCTTTTTGGACATCCGTCCGTCCGTTCGTCCTTCCGCGCCTCCATCTGTTACGCTTTTGGGTATCCATCTCTTATCCGCAACTTCTCTTATACCACTGAATGAAATTTAAGGAGACTTTAAAATAATCTTTGTCACATAGTGTCTTTGTGACCTCTTATTTTACTTTTTCATCTGACTCGTATTTTGGGATTCCAATAGTAAAACATGGACACTGTCATTCTTTCTATAATACTGAAGGGTATCCATCTCTTATACGCAACTCATACTATATCACAGAATAAATTTTAATGAGACTTTCATATATTCTCTGTTGCATAATGCCAATGTGAACCTCATATTCTACTTTATAATCCAACACCTATTTCCGATCGTCAAGAGCAAAACATAACTTTGCTATTATTATCATATGGGAGAACGGGGTATCTTTTCGTAAGCTCGGTACTCATAGAACTTCTATCTGGAAACATGGTATTTGAAAAAAAATATCAATATTAATCCAAAATTTCGAAACTCAATTGTAAATTAGCTCTTTGGTTTGATAAACCATGTTTATTAATACAGGAAGACTTTATATTCGTCACAAAGAAGTAGTAGTACTATTGATGTTGTGTATTGTAGATATTACGAATGGATTTCAAAAAAATGTGTTAATTGCAACAAATGTACCGAGAAATTGTACACGTTTACATAAAAAGCTAAATTTCTATATTATGAAAAAACAAGACGTGATCATTAGCACACTAGATGAAAATGATATCAAATGACCTCATTTCCTTGAGGTAAATAAGTAGCATGTGCATTGGTATTTAAATCAAAGCACAATGCGTGATTTCTAGGGACCACACCTCCAAAGTTCGTAAGATATCTTCTGGGATCCCCCTTGTTAGTTTTATTTCTAAGATATGTCCCAATACGTATAAATTTTTCAAAGAAATCACCATTCAGAATGCAACATCGACTTTGTCAAAATGTAAGTGTCCGAATTATTTTATTTAAATAATAGATATAAGATTTGATGTCAGAAAGATAACATATAACAAAAATTGCCTTATACTGGGCATTTTTGTGTCACTTAATTCGCCTGAAGGTATGTTACTTCTTTCATGCTTCATATCGAGGATTTTCGGACTTTTAAAACTTCATTAAAACACTTAAATATAAAAGAATATAAGTGCAATAGGCCTAAAACAGTAAAAAAAATTATTCAGAATAGAATGGATAATATTAAATATATACAAAATACTGCAAATCTATTTTGTACGGAAGCCCTGGAGGGACATTGACTTACTTGTTATGACTTATTTGTTATAACTTTTTTGGTTTGAGTTATTTGTTTTGAGATTTTTTTGCTAGTTCTAACTAAGTGTAGGTAAGCTATTGAGAACGATTTATTGTAGTTTTGTAGTTAAACGTACAAAACTGATGTGATTACTAAATTTTTATCTGTTAATTACGGACGCCCTTGAGAGATATTGACTTATTTCTTATGTGTTTTGACTTAGTTCTTATGAATGAACTTTGAATTCTTGTTATTTTGAATTTGTTATGACAAGTTTAGTTTACAAAAAGTGGCGTGAAAGATGAAGGCAACGTATAGTTTCAGAAAAAAAGTCCTCGAATTTATTACTAACGACAAAATAAAATAGTAGTGATTGTCAGTTTGTCAATCATCATGCAAAGTGGAAGTTACATATAAGAATTACGTAATAACTTTTAGAAAATAAGAATTAAGTTATAACAACAAAAAGAATATTTACTTTAGAAATCACAACTGTACTGGACTCAAAAACCACAGTTAAAATAGGACTAAATATCATTTTTATTATAAAAGTAAGCCAAGCAACAGGTTTTCAATAGCTTTCTTACACTTAGTTATAACTAGCTACGAAACATTCACAACAAATAAGTCAAAACAAAAAAGTTATAACAAATAAGTCATAACAAGTAAGTCAATGTCCCTCCAGGGCTTCCGTAATTTTGTGACCTATTTGCACTAGAAATAAAATTTTTGAGGTATAAAAATCAAAACAAGCGATAAATATTTTCTCGTGTCAGTTTTTTTTAAACAAAACAAATCATTATGAAATTAGTACTAATCGTTGAGAGTACCGTGTAGTTGAACATTTTGGAAGAAAACGTTTTGAGCAGATATATTTCTCACAAAACGCGCAAATCCCCCTAAAATTATTATTATATGAATAATTAATTATTCTTTAATATCTTTATTTAAATATATATAGATGTTTAGTAATGGAAATATATGGATAAAAATATGTGGGACTAACATTCAGATACCAAATTAAAAAATGTACAATTGAAGAATGTTGATCTAAATATCATTCCACAACTTGAAATAGTCTCCATAAACTTTTTTAACTTTGATTATTTCTAAGAGAAAAATCTAATCTTAAATTCTTTTAAGATTCAAATCATTATCAACATAGAAATGAAAAAAATTCTCTAAAATTTAAATTTTATTAATTTTACAAAGAATTCATGATCATAGGACTATGATGAAATTGAGATACTGGTATTAAATAGATTATTTAGTAAATGTATTAAATTAATATCAGCAAAAGTGTCGAAAATATTTCTTTATAGATAAAAATGATGGTATTGCTAATATTAGTCAAAAATATTAGGGAAACCTTCCAGAGACACGCATTGTGTTGACAGAAATACTGAAAATCACATTGAAAAATTAATCAACTGCTTTGTAATTCGTATTCAATTTATTCTTTAAATACAAGTAACATACAAATACACGTAACGTACATACAGAAATAAATTAATGGGACTTCTCAAGTTTTGATGATGCATTTCTTATTCAAACAGCACTAGTGGAACTATATTCATGCATCTTTCTTCTTTTCAATTATAAATTTTATTTAGATATATCTTGATCATAGTCGTAAATGTTTTAGAGAATTACGCGCAGATTTGTTATTGTAAATATGTAATAACAACAAATGAACTCATAAGCAAGCTTATATAACATTAAAAAAATTTTATACACACCTTTTCTTTTTGGATAATTTCAAATGTAATCGCCTTGATATAAACAAGTGATCGAGATTTTAACTAAAAACTCTGTACTGCTTCCAAATTGACTATTGAGGTGGAGTTTTATTAATTCTTACTGATGTATTTTAACTTATCTTCTCAAACAAAGTTTTTTCTTAATACATTTATATTTATATCCAAGTGTTGACAATATGTTCAGCTGTCTCAAATTTACCGGTTAAGCCTATAGAATATCTTAAACAATTTAGACGTTAAATCTAAAGAACTGTCCTTCTTCTGATTAACTTTTACAATTGGTAACCAAATACATGTATACAAATATTAAAGTTTAAACTATAGATTGACAAGTTCTGAGTTTTGCAAGTTTCAAATTAAATTTTGTGAAGAATTCATGTCATATATATTCAGTCATTCTGAGAAATATTTTAGCCATGTCTATAACTCTGAAAAGCTGCAAAACTCTTTTGATTCCATTTCTGTGGAGTACTAGTAATGAAAGAATGGTTGAAATTCTTGGAGGGAAAATTTAAAGAAAGCGTCTTCACAATAAATTAAATGTGTACACTCACCGTCATAATGCATTCTACTATGTGAATTTTGATTTTTTTAAAAACTAGTAATGCCTTCAAGTAGTTCCTGGTGGAACCCACCCTCCAAACACTCTCTCTAGAAACACTGCTACAGCAATGGACAATCTATCATTGTATGGCGTTGCTACGATCTGTATGCCAAGAGGTAGACCTTCTGAGTTCAATCCCAGCGGGCATTGGGTGACAGGATATGCTAAGGCATTAAATAAGCCAGTATATGCAAAATTAAAGGGATAAAATAGAGGTTCGTTATGATATAAAGCTACTTTTGGGTGAGTTGGATAAAGCAAGACCCCGTTGTCTCCTAAAATTTCCTTAAGTTCTTCATCTAATTTTTTGAGAATTTCTAAGTTTTTTCTATTGGTCTGTGGTGTTAGATCAGCTAGTCCTTGAGACATCCCCAATCCAATGGCTGGTAGGGTGTGGTTTGAACGTCCCACTAACCACTTCAGTAACTCCACAAAACAATTAACACGTCCGTTGAAATTCGCCATATAAGTAGCAAAGTCAGTTCCGCCGGACAGCGCCATCTTGGCTGCCCACATTTCAAAAGAATATTTCATTTTACTTAAATTGATTTCTTCTACTGCAACTCCTAAAGTATCCCTCAGATACGTCACCACCTGTAAAAGACGTTACGGAGGTTAGTAACATGTACAAGTTGTCCTTAATTTAACTGATAAAATACAAAGTGCACTGTCTGTAAAAAAAAAATGTCCTTTGTCCTTCTTTGCAAGAGATAAAAACATCAGATGTGACATATGAAGGTTATGAAATGAGCATATGCACAATACATGCTTCTTTGTATTTTAAGAAACGCTTACGTAACACTACTTTTTTTTTGTTATTGTTGCTTGGATGGTTAGATGCACTTGCGTAACATTTTATTATTTTTTTTTTTGGAATGGGATGGAAATTAATTACGTCAGAACAAGCCTGAATTAATAGGAGGGAGCGCTGAAGGGGGAAATGGGAATTCAATGCTTTAATAATTATTTGAAATATTTTTGGAGTTTTTTTGTTTTGTTTTGTCCTTTTTGCATAAAAAAGGATTTTTTCCAATGAAAAATATGACTACGTCATTTTCAATACTGGTACATAAACAATTTTCTGTTTTTGAAAAATATAGTATACAACAACAAATTTATGTGGTTTAAAATACTATTGAACTTTTGTTTTTTTAAATATTTTTAAAATGATTAAAAGATCAAACAAGCTGAATATGCAGGAAGTAACTTAAGAATACTTATTTGTATACTTATTTACTAGGAAAAAGACAGCATGTGTCAATAATTGGGACACTCTTCAACAAAATGAAGTTAATTTTTATTTGATAAATACTTGTAGTCTTGTGATTTTAATTGAATTATTTCTTTACGATTGGAATATCCCATGTTTTTTTTTAAATATGCTTGGCAATTAGAATTTCGAAATTCAAGTATAAATTTAGTCTCTCAGTTAAATAAAGCGTATATTTACCACGAGGAGACAATTTATAATATTAAACAAGGAGTAGTTATTAAATCTTTATTGGTCAAGTGTATTGATAATAGGAATGACAAAATCAATGGATTTTTAAAGTCAGCGTCAATTGCGATTGATGCATCAAGATTCTAAATTAATTTTTATGCACATAATGAGGATTAATCATAGATGTGACGATAAAAATCACCACGTGATTACTTGGTACAATATGGTGACCTAATTTCTAAAGACGTAAATAAAAGTATGTGCAATGGCATTTAAATAAGTGCACAAATACTAGTACACTGCACGTGATTTTAGGGAGGCACACCTTCTAAAGATAACGTGTGGGATTCCCCTTTGTTTATTATAACTGTATGTTCGCAGATAAAAGTATTATATATGTATAGTTTCTTGTTAACAATATCATCATTGAAAAAGCGACTTTTCCACTGTAAGTTTTACACATGTTTTGGTAAACATTGAGTCCAAAAATGATTTTTAAAAGCATATCTAATTTAGGCATATTTAAACCTTTTATTGTCTTCAATTTTTATTTCCCCCTCAACTTTCAGACTAAAAGATATGCTAGACTAATCGAAATATATAAAAGTGTCTAATAGCAAGTAATAACTTTTGTGTTTAAATTATCATTTCTTTCCATCTTCCCCTAACTTGTAAATCAGCCTTCAAATAAATTTCTTCGTAGTGATTATGGGATTTATTATACAAAAACCTCTTTGATCCGATTTTAGCAAGACATAATATATACCATTGATAATTACTTTGAGCAATATTATTCCTTCGTGTATTGGTTTATTTTTGGCCAAAATAGATAAAAATGTCCTTTGGTACTAGTTAATTCTTCAAATTTGTTCAATTTTAATTTCTCTTAAAAAATGAACAAACATATAATGTTTATCCTATTCAAAATAAGAAACATTTTTAAACACGGTATTTATTCATTAATCAGGATAACTCAGACGGTATGTATGATTCAAAGATGTATGGTTTTAAAATTGTCTACACATTTTGTTTTGGCATTAGACATGTATTGATAATCCATGTTTATCAAGGATTGACAATTTCAAAATGCAGACAAATAAGAGCAATTTACAGACAATTCAAAAGAATATAAGACTGCATATTATCATTCATAAAACGCCCAAAATTAAAAAAAAATTGGAATTTGAAAGACTTACACAGTGTATGAATATATTAACTTTTTTTAAAGCCAATCTTGCTAAAGTACACCACCTTGTATTGGTATAGATCGAAATATGATTACATGTATTTCTCATCGAGATAGCAAAATATATATTCACAACATATGAAACAATATCTATTTGAATTTAAATACACTAAAAACACAACTTTTGAGCAGCTCTCGATCGAAATTATATTTTTCTTTCAATTTTGTTAACATTTGAACTTGATGAAATATTTTGCAAATTTTCTCATTTATTTTTCTTTATTTTCAATGTGTTCTTTTTTTGCATTGTTTTCCCTAGAACGACAAAGTTGCATGGCCTAACTTCTTTACGATCTATGACCTAATAGAGGCCTAAGGGTACGTATATTTAAGTTTAAATAACAAAAAGTAAATGTAATTAAATGACCCATTTACAATATTCTAGAAAGCACGATAAAAAAAATTTGAACAGAGAGTAGGACAATGCTTAAGTGTGGGTTGCCGTCACATTTTGTACAGCAAAGCCTCTGTGACAAAATAACCACACACCTTAAAAGAGTATACCCCAGGACTTTTAAAACTATCTTTAGAACACCAAAATTACCTGTGTTCTAAATGTTTAACAGATCAAATGACTCACATATTCTGTTTACAACAACGTCTTAGATATAGATAATTATAACTTATATGCCATATGCTTAAGATTCATGACATATATTTATCATTCTTTAATTTTGTTCATATGAATCATGTCCAACAGCCAATAAATTAAAAGAGGCAATTTTGAAATGTAACAAAGTCGATACTGTTTTATACATGTATTATACAAAAGTTCATCAAATGCTTTTCAGATATAAAATTGGAACATCTAAGTAAGTTTTTGAATACATTTATTTAATCCCCACAGAATGATGTTAACCTTCTTGTGATTTTAAAAAATATTTTCAATACATGTAATTAGAATAATAAGATAACTATATTTATATAATTATATGCATGGGCATCATATCTTTGATATTTTTTTAAAAAAAACTATACTTAATCCAAATTACACAGGCAAATAACTTTATATTTGGACCTTTGTGTTTGTGCTGTTTTTTTTTTTTTTGTGCTTAAAATTTGCTTATTTTTTCCAGACACTGACAAACCGATAAAACTTCAGAAATATTTGTGCTCAGCATTTTTGTAGCACATATAAACATATGTAACTTATCAGCAACATTAGAAAGTTTAAGCTTTTGACAAAAAAGGACCCAGCAAAGTTGTTGTCACATTTTGTACAGTAAAGTCACTACGACAAAGTAACCACACACCTTAAACTCTATACCCTGAGACTTTTAAAATTTATCTTTAGAACACTAAAATTACCTGTACATAAATAAAGTATGATAACTTTATCTGATCAGTTGACTCACACATTCTGTTTACATCAAATGTCTTAGATATAGATAATTATATCTCATACCCTGGTATGTCATATGATATCCTCATATGCTAAGATTCATGACATATATTTATCATTTGTTATGTTTATAATAAAATCATGAACAGATGAAAGAAAAAAAGAGAAAAGATTGAAAAAAAATATATAAAAAATAGGCCCACTGTACATATGGTATACATAAACTCTCATGATAAAAGTACTATTATTTGTCAGATGACAGGGGTGTAACTTTATCTTTTGATGTCATAAGTGTGGGCAGGAAGGAGAAAGGAAGAGAAATTGTTTTTGTGTTAACAGTAGTAGAAATATAACACTTAATTTTTAAACTTAAGTACATACATGTATAGGGAGGCATATCAAAATTTATGATTCAGACCGGGCCTAAATTAAAAAATTGTTTGTTTGCAGTTGCCTACTGACCAACTGAAATGCACCCAACCCAAACTTTTTAAGAATCATTTTGTATTTTTTTTTTTCAATTTTTCAGGATATTGCAATTTTTCGATTTTGAATTTTTGTTTTTATCAATCAGTGTTTTTTTTTAATAACAAGAACGGACCCTATTTATGTAAAGAAGACCTACGAAAAGATCTACTACCTGTATTTGTTATCATGAAAATTTTTTTTTTTTATTTTGTGTTAGATTATCTAACACAAAATCTAAAAACATCTTTTTTTTAAAAGAAAAATGCCTACCTACCTACCCTGTCTAAAAATCATAGGTCAGCAATTGCAAACAAAGAATTTTTGAAGCTTGGTCCCAAAACAATATGCAATGCAAGAATTTTACAGGTATTTGTCAACTTTAAAAAAATTTTTTATGCATGAAAAAAAAAACAGTCACAAATAAAGCCATTTTAATTAATTACAAACTGTATGAAAATCTGAGACTTCTGTTTCATATCTAAATATTTTACTAGAAAAAATGTTTATGTTACTTGTAAAACATGATAAACATTGTGCTTTCAAATTTTCTATTGGCAACTTCCCTTACTTATAATAGCAATATTGTACCCTTATCACCTGCATATGGTGTTATCTTCTTCACATTCATTTGATACACAAGGCATGCAGTACCTTCAAACAATTTATAAGAAGGTGCAAGCTATTGACAAACAAGCTGATAAAACAAGAGCATCAATTTGAAAGTTCTGGCCTGGGGGGCCATAAAGCTTACACGAGCTCACTTTTGATCTCAGTCTCACTTATACCAAAGGAATATGGTAAAAGTGAGACTTAGATCAAAAGTGAGCTCGTCTAAGTTTAATGGCCCCCAGGCCTGTGGTTAATAGGATGATCTTGTCAGCAAATACAATCAATCATTAATGATGAATCTTACTGACATTTTTCATATAAATTGTCAAGACATTATTTACACACTCCATTGTCTATGGAATGTTTCCTAGATCAGTTTTCATGAACATGATAAGGAGCACAAATCAGTTGTGATAGGGGATGCTTACTCCTCAATACCCAGCCCTATTACACATATTGCATATGTACACTGTCTTTTATTTAATTTA